GACCCAAGCATGCTATAGTATTCATCGGTAACATCGGAAAAATTAATCTGCAAGTAAAACAGTTTTAAGTTTAATATTTCTTATCATCCTAATTTCTCCGGCGTTTTTTTAATACTGTTTCTTCATATTTTTGAATCACTAATTTTGGTATTTTTGAATTTGTTTTAACACAGTCTCTATGTATTCGACTATTACAATATATTGATATCGTCACACAAGGCCGTAACTGTTCCAGTTTTGCGATAAATCACAAAGTGAATTTGCAACAAATCAAAAGTTTGAAAAATTAAAATTCTCTAAACAGTCTTAAAATAAAATTCTACCTCTTTTAGTTAAGTCGAAAATCACATTATTCTAATAATTTGTTTTCTAGGTCTATTTCGCCGACACTGTTATTCTTATCGCTGCCTTAAAATCTCCATTCAATATCACCAATGTGTATACATATAAAAATATTAGCCATCTACCGGAACAAACGCGCACATCTGTCTCTATACTGCTTTGTGTAGTTGATAGAATTATACATTCAGATTCTTGTAAAAATTATATTAAAACGCAATGAACTTGCAGTCCTCTCGTTTACTTCTTTTTGTCGACATTACAATCGAATCGTTCTATTCGGAATAACGGTCAAATTACCTAATTATACTATTGGAATTGTAACGACAAAATGAAATTAGAAAAAGTATTCAATTTTGGATGACCGAGCAAATAAAGAAAATAATAAAATAAAATAAAAAGTTGCAAGTTGATAATAATTTTTACCTTTATACAAATGAATAGAAACTCTTTCAGCGTATTATTATTACAATATTGCCGAACATGTCTGTTGAAGAACCCGCTGTTATTTCATTATTTATGCCCACATTTTAAATGTTTAGATTAAAAGGCTTAGATATTTGAAAAAAAATTAAAGAAAAAGTGCCTCTTACATTTGCGTTAACCAACATCTTACCGTTTTCTTATTATATGCTCGTATTTTATTATTATTAAAAATAACTAATATAGTTGACAACTCACGTTAATATTAAATTTTACGCGCCAATAAACCATTTTAAATTATATTTTTGTATACAATATGTGTTAAATGGGCGCGTTAAAAATCCTTTTGTTAATTAAAGAAAATAACAAGAAAATAGCAATGAAGAAGAAGCAAACAAATATTTTTATTTTATAGTTAAGGGGATCTAAATCAAGATTATCGTAAAATGGATATTGAATTCATAATATTTTTAATAAAATAAACTAAGAAAATTTTTTGCTATTATTCTGTATTGAAGTGACGCTTTAAATTGTTCATAAATTATTTTTGAAAAGAAAAAAATGGAAAAATTATTCGTTTATGCGATCTTTTATGTCACATTAGTGGACTACTAATAAATTATTATTGGTATTGATTTTGATGGTATGAAAAAAGCACAAGTCTATTCTGATTTTTTGGACTTCAAATTGAAGATAAACTCAATTATAGGTAACTAAAGAGTTACCTATAGGTGTTATGGTCATAATGTCAATCAATAAATTAAAGTAAACGAATGAGTAATGAACAAAAAACTAATAAAGAAATCTTTAAGTATTTTTCCTTCATTCTTTCAAAAAATTACCTGCACATCTACTGTTTTGTTTCCCTACTTTCAGATTATCCAAATACAATTAGTTTGTTCTTTTCTACAAACAATCAACTAGAAGAAAATGTCAATTTCAAAAACTCTGTACGATTGCAGTTCGACTACTTCAATAGGGCTATAGTACGGAATTAGTCCGATTTTCAACTGGAAGTCTTTGAATTTGATTATTGACATTACTTCTCCGAATTTCGATAAGAGTATGCCACAAATAAACCCCTTTTGAAATTCAATTCACAAAATATTTTTTTTATTGCAAATTTTTAAATAAAAAGTATTTTAAAAATTTTGATTTATTCTCAATTTTAAATTCATTACTCTTGAATACATTAATTACTTTTTCTCTTTTTTTGTATCACCAGTTCACAATGTTCCAACTCTTATACATATTTCAGACTTTTTTTCTGATTTTATTTTACTTTTAACATTTAACATGTTTAACAGTACAACATTTTTTTAATTCTCAGTTCAATATGTCGACATATTAAGTTGTATGACTTATTGCATTGTATACAAAAGAGAATAAAACATAGTAGGGAAAGGAAAAGAAATATAAAGGAGAAAACAAAATATATTTAAGATAAATTATCTACAATTAAAAATATCACCTGCTCAATGAATTGTTTAAAAGTGTATTAATGTTAATTTAAATTTTTTTTTGTTGAGTTAATATTAATATTCGCGTTGCATTTAAAAATTTACAACACTCCCAATTGCTTGGGTATAGTTTGCAGTAGCTTAGAAATAGAATGCAATTTTTTATAATCACCGTTTTCCTTCATTTTTGCGAAGGGACAGATGGTGGGGACAATTGATTCGGTTCCTCCTGTACTCTCATTCACGAAGAATTTTAAGGCTTTAATTCGGTAATAAGTCCGGGATCATAGGAGACCATACACTACAATGTGTGCCCAATGTACAATTATCCAATTGTATGCTATACTCTGTTATGCTCCATCTATGCATCACAATGATGAAAGCCAAGTTCCACAACGTAGATTGTTCCTAATTTAATTTTGACCGCATTTCGGTTATGTTCGTTCTATAGTTCTATTAGAGTTCTACAGGCACCCATTCAAACTACTTCAAGTGGATCTCAAATTTAAATTACACTTTACATTTTTAAAGAAATATTTTATATTGAAGAGTGCTCTGTGTGTATTTTCTAAAAAAATTAACAATTTATTAATTTGCTAAATGTTTTTCATAACTGTTATATCAATATATTAATCAAAATAATAACAATTACACAAAAAAACTTTTCTACATTTAATTTATTTTCTATTTTATTAATAAATTTTAATTTTTTTCTTAATTTTAGAAACAATTTTTATGAGAATTTTTTTTTTCATACAAATTATATATCTTCAAGCTTATTCCCAACCTTCTATATCGTCTTTATAATAAGATTGATGTACTTTGCTACTTCTTGAGTTCGTCACGATTAAATACACTATTATTCTTATTTTATTATATGTTTGCTGTTGATGAAACTTTTCATAAATTTTTTTTTTCATTTTATTTCTATTTTTTTAACTAATAAACTAACATATAATCATGCTGTTCAAGACATGATAATAAGTTTATTCGACGTAGGTTAGTTAAAAATTTAAAATAACAAAATAGCATGTCATTATCTAGCATAGTCATACAATAATTCAATAGAAATATTTGGAGCAAAGATCACTATAAGATAAAATATAGAAAAGTTCATTCAAATCAATCACTACGGTATAATTGATAGGTGACCGGACTGTTGTTGGAAGAGTAAACTGCTGATATTTGAAATATTTTGAGAGCAGTAAAATGTTGACAATATATTGTGAGTAAAATATTCCAATTTTTTTTCACAGCAACTTAAACTAGAGAAAAATTGTAAACTCAATAGAAGAAGTCTAACGCCATATAAGAAAAAAATTCAATCGTCACATCATACGATGATACAGCTAAGAGATTCACATCCCTCTAAAATATACACCAACGATCTAGAAAGTATTTGTGCAGCAACCGTCAACAGGAAATGAACTGTCTTTATTAGGAAATATGCGGTCTATTCTATCCCAGCAAATCTAATTTACCGTTTGTAGGAGAATAGAATGAGTCAGCAAATTAACCATTTCGTTCATATATGGGCTCTCAAGCCATATTCTTAATGACGCCTTATACTGTAGCATGCATTGAACGAATTGAATTCTGAGACGACAAACATGAAATATTGATCTGCTCTCTGAAATTATGTAGCTTCATTGACTTTCGATTCTCACTTATCATATGTAGTTCAGAAACCTTTCTATGAACCTTCGTACTTAGAAATGTTTTCAATATTTTTTTTGTTACTATAACAATTTTCTTCCTATATCTATACGTTTCCTGCAAATAATTCCTTTTTACTTGTCGTACATGATCGAGTACTATATTAGAAAATAAAATAGAAAACAGTAATGTCGTGAAAATTCTCGTGATTTCTTATTATCTTATTAATTCGAAAACTCTATACATATAAAATATATACTATGCATGTTAAAAAAAACAAAACCCAACAAGAATATTTATTTATACATACAAGGTTATATAATATAAAACAGTAAGAATGTGCGATATGTTTATCACAGTATGGTACTACAATCTTGTATATATGTACATTATAATTGCAGAAATGAAGACTCCATTTCTTTTTCATAGCAAGAAATTAAAGAGTTGGGGCAAAAATAGGAACAATATTTCTGATAACGTTATACCTGTAATCTAAAAGACTTATTAGAATTCGTACTTCATTGCAGAAATTAATTGAAATTATTTAATTAAATTGAAAATCATAAATGATTTGGAATTCTGCATTTCATAGTAGTGAGATTTGGTCTTGCATGTCCTGAATGGGTGAGAGGGACGAACAGAGACAGTCATTGAAATAATTGCCCGGGCAATCCAAAATTCTCAATCCACAAAATTAATGTCCATTTGAAGAGGATGGAGAAGGCGGAGAACAAAGTCTTCTATCTCTACCTAGAACAGGAAAATATTTCTCTAAACTATTAACGGGTACAAGTTTTAAAATAAATTAAAAAACTTCTCGTTCATTAAATTATGAACTGAAAACAGAATTTTGTATACCTTTTTTTTTTAATATTTTCAAACAAAAAACCATATGAGCTCTACAAAATAAATAAAAACTAATAATGTAATAATACGTCGAAATGAAATTTTCATTTTCATTGCAATTTTGTTTTTCCATCTTTTATTTTATATAATTCTGAAAAAAAAAAACAAAATTTTATTAAAGGAAATACAATTTTTTTTATATATATATTTTTTTTTATTTTTTTCCACAAATAGTAGTTTCGACTATATAAGGAGAAATAAGTACACATTGGAAATATGCGAATATTTTTATACGAATTAACAAAGAAACAACAACAACAAATATCACAGGTAAATATCCACTTGAAATTTATATCTTCAATTTTAAATAACTTGGCAGCTTAATCGAATTTCAATTGGACACAAAGCTCTATATACAATACATGTATACATACATATGTAGATAATATAACAGATATATGTATAAAGAGTCAAATAGATAAATTGGAGCATAATTTGTATTTTTAGTGGTTTTAAACGACGAAGATATTTTGATTGCAAATTTTCTCAATTTAAATTTTTTCACAATTTTCATTTTATTTTTTAAATTCAATGATTAAATACTCTGATGTTATATTTAAAATACATATTATAAACATATGAACAGGTATGTATAGAAATGAGAAATTGTGTATTAAAGCAACACTATAAAGCGTTTATTTATACAAGAAATACACAAATACAAGATTTATTCAAAAAGTAAGAGCACAATAACTCTGCGCAAGTCTATAGTTATATAAAAAATGTGATATTTAAATTTAATGAATTTAAATTGCAGGTAAAATTATTGTGTTGAAAAGCGTAAATATTGTGTCAAAACATAACTTTACTTCGAATTTACACCCGGCAAATAAAAAAAATGACTCCTTAAAGAAGTGTACAGAGTCGGAATCGAATCCAAACTCAGAAACGGAGTCAAAGGTGGAAACAGGGTCAGATTCAAAATTGGACACAGAGTCGATGCCCAAGCCCAAGTCATTGCCAGAGGGGATATTATTAAAATGTTTATAATCTCATAAGTTTAAAACTCTTATACCACAAAATAATCTTATTAAAATTGTAATTCTCTTGCACTTTCCAAACCAACCCTAAAATATTGTAATTACATAAAATGTCGAATCCTCTACATATTAAATTATCCATATTATGTATTCCATTCAATGGAGGTAACATTTTATATAACTATTATTAAATAAAAATCAAATATTCGCATATCCAAAGTAGATTTAATTTGCAAATATATAGATTATATCCTTATTTTAAATAAAAGTATTATATACCTTTTGGAAATTTCTGCTATATACGTATGTATATTAAAATACCTATTCAATTATTATTGATATATATACCACATACTTATATTGTTTACATAAATACACATATTGTACACATTATATACCATATCTCGATATAAATACGTGCTTTACTTGTTGTACATAAAGATGAAACCGCAAATTTACCGTAAATGGTAATTTATGTGTCTATTCGGTATTTATACTTGTTGATGAAAATTTCGTGAATAAGTAATTTAAGTAGTTTAAAATTAATGGAAATAAAATATAAAGCACTCTATATAAATTATGTGTATATATACATACATAAATATATATACATATATATATTATGTATATAATTATAAATAGATGTACAATATTGGTTTGTCGTTAAAAATTTAATTTAAAGTATAGAGAAAAAAATAAAAATTGAAATACACGATTTTTTTGTAAAATTTTCCGAATTTTCGTTATTTAAATTTCAAGAATCGAGAAAAATAGAAAAGAAAATTTGTTACAAAATTGTTAACAGACAAATTTTTCATTTAAAAAACAAAATCAAGTATTTTTAGAATTTTAATTCAATTTAAGATTTATGTGTATATTTAAAATGTAGAACAGATTGAAATTTAAACATTTGAATGACATTACCCCACAATCAATAATGATTAATTTAGTGTTTAGTAAGCCTTCTTAAAAATTTATTATTATTCATTTGAATTGAGCTTGTTTATACATTGAAAATAACAGGGTTTTAAGATCATAATATAGACAAAAGCACCTGAATAGAGAATATTGTTCTCAATTTGGTATTATAAGAAATTCGGATATTCTAATATAGAACTTTAATTTCGAAAGAAATTTACTACGTATCAGAACATTAACATAGATTTCTAAAGTTGGTTCAGGCTTACAATATTGAAGTTTTAAAGAAATTATAAAATTTGATTATGGTTTTTATTATGCGTAAATATGGCTACCTTTACTTATTAAACTAAAATCAGAATTTATTAATCGAACAATATTGCATATTTTTAGGGGTTGAGATATTGGTTTTTTTTTTTATTCCTGCTTTACATCACATATTTTTTTAATGATTTCTTTCTTTATTGCTCTTTGTCATGTATTCTTGAGTCGTCCAGTGCTTCTTCTCCCTTGATTTTTGGGTGGTCATCGTAATTTGTTACCTATTCATCTCCATTGTTTCTTTCTTATTACTCCTATACAAAAGGCTTTCGGTGTGTTAAAACCCAAATTTCTGTATTCACACATATGCAAGTGTGAAAATTTCCAAATGGTCCGTATTCTGTCAAAAACGGCTTAAGCAGTTTCAATTTATTTTCCACGTTTTCTTGCACACCTCCGCTTGTCGATATTATACTGCCGAGGTAATTGAATTATTCTGCAATTTGTATTGGGCTTATATTTACATGGAAGTGGAAAGAGTTTGCTGTATTTATTCGGAGTGATTTAGTTTTTCTCGTATCAAAATTAAAAATGGATAACAAATTATATTATTTTAATTAAATGTTTTATGAAATTTGAATTCCATTGCTAATACTTAAAGTTTAAATTAGAGGATTTTCTAAGTTAACCAAGTTAACTATATATACATTTATTTATTACCAAACCTATGGGAACATTATTCAGTCTTTTGCAAACACATTAATATATATGTACATATATACTCATACAATAATTGAATTGGTTTAATATTGAAAATATTTCTTAATTATCTTATTTGTATCGTTAAATAAAAGTTGAATATTTCCCAAGAAAAAAATTTCCATTCATTTATTAAAAATATTTTATTATTAATTCAGTATCTTTGTTATTTTCCCACCATTTAAATAAATCCTTAATTTCAAAAAAATTTTAATATAAATTAAACCAATTATTTACAAATTTTTTTTCTTAAATAATTATTTTAGAAAGAACTACACAAAATGGTGTGAATTGATTCAGAACATGCAATACAATTCAATTTAATTGATGATCAACGTGGAAATTTATTATTATTAAAATATTTAACAGGTAAGTTTAACAATATTTTTATTAATTTAAAAAATATTTATTTAAATTAAAAAACAAAACAAATCATCATTTCCCAGCACAAATAATGGCACTGGAAGAATTCACGGGGTTTTATAATTGTTATTCCCCGTGTTCTCTTAGTGGCATCGCTAGTGTAATGGGAATACCAACAAAATTAAAGTGTATTTTTATAATAATTTACATAAAATTTTAAAATACTAAAATTATAATTAAAATTATAAAATATCTAAATTAAAATTAAAATTAACAGTAATTTATTTAAGGAATAATTATTTGGAAACTCCATGCAGCTCTAATATAATGAAGATATTAGTAGATGAATCAGTTAGAAATAATTGATACGAACAATAAATTATAGTGGTGAGATTAGAACCAGCACATTATTATGTCATGGTGTAATAATGAGAATGATTGAAGGAAACAATTAACTTGACAGAAAGAAGTATTTCGAAGTGTAAAGGTTTGTTTGGTTTCAGTTGACGAACGTCGTTCGTACAATATTTTTAAACCATCAAAATGTTTAATTTTACTAACACATATACAAAACTGTCCTTCTGTGCGTGAAACCGAACATTTTTCTTGTATATATTGTTCTTAACAGATTTTAGTGCAAAAATTATTTTGCTTTAATTTTTAAACAGTAAAGAACTGCTATTTAATAAGGGTTTCAAAAATTGAATGGACGTAGCTTAAATACATATTTGCATGTAATTTGTCTCTGCTCTGAGAAATTTTCTGGCTCTCATCATTTTAAGCAACATTATAATAATATTTAATTGTATAAAATAAACAAAAGCTACCGGATTTCGCATTTCCAAATCCAATTAATTTAATTTTTAAATTAAAAAATTTGAAAAAAAAAACTTGCGATCAATTTTCAACTTAACCTTTTTTTTTTACATAAGTACAATTTTGTACACACACAAAAGAACATACATATATGAACATATTTATAAACTTTTTTCTTATTAAATTAAAATTAAATTGAATTAAATTTAAAAAAAAAAAACCTTTTACAAGTTTTTATGACTTCTTCTGACATTAAAATGTACAAGTATTCTTTTTAACAAGCAAAATAATAATAAATTATAGAAGAGAAACAATAAAAAAGCAAAGCAACAACAAAGGACTGAAATTAAATAAAACTTGTTATACAGATAAAATAACATCTCTATAATAATTAACATTTTATATACGTTTATGTATAGAAGGTTTATGTATATATGTACATATATGTATAGTTACATATATAACATATTAAATGTTAATGTCATTTTTAAACAGTTAAAAATATATTTAAATAAAAACTAGTAAGTTTTTAATAGAAAAAGTTGTCATTAAAATTAAACTTTCCTGAATTTACAGAGAGAGAGCATGTGTTGCTGATTTTTCTATTTTTTTTTAACAGTTTTCAATTTTTACTATTATACATTTTACTTTTTGTTGTTGTTTTATTTTATTTATTATTGTGCTCTCTAACGAATTCAATTCACTGTTCTGTTGCACTGTCATTCTCCTATATTTACCTAGTTGCTGTATTTTAATATTAAAAAGAGACAAAAAAAAAACAAACTCATTCGATTAAAGATTTTAAATTTTAATTAATTTTAATTGAATGCATACAAAGGTAAGAAAAAAAAGCAAACCGAAAGAGTGAAATAAAAAATTTAAATGCTTATAATTGATTTGATGTGCTCCCAAAGTAGTTTATTTCTATTAATGGTAACAAAAATTATTTAAAATTAAATTTAAAATATAACAGAATAAAAAAATAAATACAAATATAAAAATAAAAATGATAAAATCTTTTGATAGAGGTGGTTATTATTGGGCACAACTATAGGGTTAAAGTGATTACTTAGTAGTTTTAATCATCAATCTCGGTCTCGGATTTTCGAAAGAATTTAATAAAATTTTGAAAAAAAAGAAAATAATTTTTCTACTTACTGTGACTATGTGCTACAGTATGGGTGCAGCATTTTTCAGGTATACTTCAATATAATGTCTCCATTTTATACTGTTATACAAGGGTTAAAACTAAAGATTAAATGTTAAGAATTTGACATTTATTTGGATTTCTTGTCAAAATGTGTAGACATTTATCTGAGTAAACGTGTTAACAAATATTCTATATAGATTAGTTTAGTTCAAAGTGTTATACACCAATGTTGTTATAGGTTTAGTGTCTAAATATCCCGTTAATTTGAACTTTATGATATTTTTTAAATGTGTTGATCATTACTGAAAAAAATTTATGTTATATAAAAAATGAATGACTAAATAGTTTACCTCATAAATATTTGGAAACGCAAAATTAAATTATGTTCAAAAATTCGATATTGACTCACTTACGGTCAATTTTGTTACAAATTTAATTTACAATAAGATTTATGTTTCATTTATACAATATGTATAAACGAAACTCACGCTACTATTTTAATGATAGTTGCAAATGAGCAATATACATAACAGTTTATAGATTAAGAAAATATCGTAAAATTTTTTTTACAAATACACACTTAACAACAATTTTAAATGATGTAATTTAAATGAAATGATAAATTTATAATACCTCACCAATTATATTTTTGAATGATTATAGTAATTATTTTAATACCCAGTATACAAACATAGGTACTTAAACT